CCCATTCTCCTCTGACATTAACCAGGCATTTTTGATCACACAACTGCCGCTCACTGGATATTTTCTTTATATTTTCCTTACAGACCATTCTCTATAAACCCTAGAGATTATTGTGCGTGAAAATCTCAGCAGATCAGCAGTTTTTGAAATCCTCAGACCAGCCCATCTGGCAACAACCATGCCACGTTCAAAGTCACTTAAATCCCCTTTCTTCCCCATTCTGTTGAACTTCAGCAAGTTGTCTTCACCACGTCTACATGCCTAAATGCATTGAGTTGCTGCCATGTAATTGGCTGATTAGCTATTTGTGTTACCAAGTAATTGAACAGGTGTACTTCATAAAGTGGCCGATGAGTGTATATCGGCTTTAAAAGACATAACTATCTAAGCCCGGGTTCACACTGTGCAGCATGGGACACCGCATGTAATTTGCATAGGAATCACACCGCATTCCTGTGTGAATTACATGCAGCTGTCTGTGCAGTGCAATTTGAGTCATGCACTTTGTAGGGCTCAAATCACATTCTATCCGCATGATAAAAGTGCAGGACCTTTTTTAAATCCGCGCCTGAATGGGTGTTCTAACCCATGTGATGCAATTCCTGGCAATCTCATAGTGTTTTACGATTCATTTCAGGGTGTCATTAATTTATCATTGACACCCGCACCAGATCACAAGAACGTGATGCATTTCCCGCACCGCATTGGTGTGAACCCCGGGCTCAAATTTGTTGGCATCCTTGGAGTTGGATAGGGAGCCTTTTACTAGACTTGCTTGTTTGCGATGTATGGTATTTAAGTTTCTTTTGGTATGTATGCCAAGTCAGCAGTCTTTCTTTCTTTTTTTTTTTTTTTTTTTTTTCCTGATATTTTTATATTTTTAATAAATAATTACAATTACTTCTCTGGTATATCCTATTATACTGCATTAAATATAAACAATCACCTTGCATTTTGTAATAAAACAGTAGATATACTATATACATACCGTGTATATATAAATATATTATATTATTTTTTTTTTGAAGGATTGGACAGCAAATCTGCATTAAAGCAAAAGTAAATCGAGCTTTTAACACGAGCATGGAGGTAAGAACTTCATATTTCCTTTCTCTGCATTTTCAAGTGACAGAAATGCACATTTATGCTAAGCCATATCGGCAGTATTTAATTGTGTTACTTATTTTAGCTAAAGGGTTATATTATACAGTAATAGCTGAGTTTTAGTACTTGTTTAAAGAGATGTATAGGCAACAAATAAATAACAGTAAACTGCTGATCTGAGTGTTTGTGCCATAATCACTAGCTAATTGTAGAGCAGCAGCTGGAGTCTATTGCAAAGAAAAAATACCAAGCCAATAGAATGTGGGGAGCAAGTTCTTAAAATGTGATCATCTCAAGTCAAAGCCCAATTACATTCAAAAGGTTTTTTTTTTATTTTTTAGATAGAGCGTGGAAGGGCTATAACCTCTCACATCAACTTTACTCTTTGTTGCAATTTTTAGTTGGTTCTAAAATTGTCTTTTTTATATAATTTGTTTTTATATTCCTTATGATGGTGACATTTTAAAAACGTCGATATGCCTTGGCTAAAATTACTTCGAAATCAAGCCTCTTGGCACAAGAACCTTTCGTCCATACTTTCCTTCATGGGACTTTGCCCCTCTAGATTGGAGAAGTGTGCTCGTTGTTTTGCTGTACCTAATATGCAAATCCCTTTTTGGGCCATACCAACTTGTGCATGTGAGCTGTGTTTGCCTTGTTCTCTATGATGATATTGGATCTGTGTCTGGATTCTTTTCTCTTCCCAATCATTTTAAAGTAATTTGTGTGTAAGCAGGCTGCCCTGCTTTGTTTCACATGGTCACGTGCAGCTAGGGCCACACCTACAAACAGGGCTTCCACGGTTACTCCTATAGTATGTATTTGCTGCCCAAGCCCACACAGACATCAAGTGCGTGGATACTGGTCTAAGACCTTCCTCTCACAACCCCCTGATCATAGTTCACATTAACCCCTTTACCCGTCTCATTTCTCATGCAGGTTTTCAATTTAACATGGTCCATATTAGTGCTCCAATCCAACTGGACTTGATTTGAAATCCAACCAGGCACCCAGGGCCCGTGGTACGTGGGGGGGGGGGGGGGACCATATCACCTGGTGCATGTTCCATGAAGAGGGTTGGCTCTCACCAGCAGTAGGAAGACTCATTTTCCACAATCACCACCTACTCCTGAGCCGATCAGGTTTTCACAGATACACATTTGCTCTTCTCTCTAGGTATTGTCTGTGTCCAGTAATTCAGAGTACTCATCCCTTTCAGTAGGTTGCTTGTTTCAAAAATAATTTCCTTTTACAATCCATAAGATAGGTAAAAATCCAACAGGAAAAACCATTTCAATTGTCTACCGAGGAGAATTGCAGTATTCATCGCCCTAAGGTCCCATCCTTATTCCCGACTAGGTCTCTCCCTTAAGAGGGGGAGGGCACACACAGCTTTCCTGCTACATCCCTCTTCTTGTCTCTTCCAGACTAAGCTCCTGCCATGCCTTTCTTCATGGGAGGAAAGCTGTGTAAATTTCTTCACTTCCTGTCCATTGGGTGGGCTTACAGCTAAAGTGGAAGAAACCCCCTGCCTACATGTGTGCCCACTTTCTCCCATTTCCTGTCTGTTTTTGAGGGATGTCAGAAAGAACAGGAAAGTAAAGGAAATCTTCATTTTCATCAGTAACACAGAAAACATTTAAAACCTGGTGGATGAGGCACCTTTTAACATTCTGTAAATGGAAAAAAAAAGGCTGGAGTTGGGCTTTATTTTTCTTTTTGAATGTCAGGCTTTGTGGATGGGGTTTACAATGAAATTCATGGAGATTATGCCATTAATGCTCCAGTACAAGCATGTAAGATCTCTGAAAATTCCAATAAGTTTATGTGAAGATCTCCTCCAAAAATAACTGAACTATTACAGGCAAGTATATGTTGTGGTCAATATGCTGGCAGAGGGACTTAGCTTTAGAAAAGAAGTGGACTTCTCCTTTAAGAACTAATTTTGGGTTAGGTCTATACTATAGATAAGTGATCATTTTTCAAATGTGATAACATTTTTTGATATGGTAAATTAAATTTTTGGTCCAATAATTATATAACACAAATCATATGTGGTAATTTGTGTGCCCATATTTCTAGTGCCAAAACTTCCAAACAAAAACACAATACGCCAAGCTACAAACAAATGTGACAATCCATCTCATTCTAAAATTTGCCTTTACTAATAATTACTGTTTTGGGCCTTTTTTTAAAAAATCAGTTCTTTATCTTTTGAGCTAGAGAAGTGTTGTAATCAGACAATTCCAGCACTAAATTTCTTCAGGAAATGTGTCCCAGGGTGATAAGTATTTGGTTTTTCTGGGTTTTGTGCCCACAGAAGAAACAGAATGGTTAGGCCCCTTTTCACAATAGTGAACTTTTGTTGTGCTTTTCCAGGGTGACAAAAGCGCATGAAAACTATTCCCCATTAAATCTTCTGTTATGGTTTACACTACAAGTGGGCTGCATCTTGAAAAGTCCTGCATGCAGCATCCTTTATGCAGTTTTTCAAAAGCACACCAAAAAGGCACCTTCCATTGTAAGTCAATTGAAACAAAAGCATCAGTGTAAAAGGGCCCTGAATGGGTAGGCTGGGCAGCCTTCAAACCTCTCAAAGCTTCAGGCTCTCTTCACACTATTGTGATGCATTATACTTATTGGTGCAATGCAGTGCCATTTATTCTAAAGGGCTCCCCAACAAACGTTTTCAACCTACTTGCACGACCGAAAGTGCTGCATGCTATTTTTTTTGGTGCAGATGCAGCCAATTAAAAAAAAAAATAGGCTACCTTAATGCAGCACACATTAAAGTGTTACTAAACCCAGGACCCTGCATTCATCCTATCTGGTCTCCCACAGTACACACAACATGGAAATGCAATTATTTTAGTAAATATAAACTGCTAAATACCTTTTCTCATCAGCAGTTAGAGCAGCCTTGTGACTTCAGATCAGCACTGGTTAAAGCTTGTAACAGGAGTTTTCTCTGGGGGGATGGAAATCCCCTGACCTCTGTCTGGACAGTGCTGATTGGCTGTGTGCTGATCACATGCACTCTCCCAAGAAAAAAAAAAAACCCTCTGTAGTTATACACACTAAACTGAGCATGTGCAGAAGGACACAGGTTCATTAGCATGGACATTTGAACAAGAGGAGGGACAGAGAAGAAAAGATCAAATGGCCTTTTTACACAATGCAGAGGATTAACCCCTTAAGTTCCACAGTGAGTATAACAATCATGCTTTACTGCATATACAGACCAGGGGCGGACTGACCATTTGGAAACTCGTGCACTGCCTGAGGGCCTGGGGTCAGTAGGGGGCCCCATGAGATGCCCCTGGTACCTTTTTCATAGGCTTTTTTGAGTTTGGGCAAGGACACAGGGGCCCCATGATCCCCTATTGCCCGGGAGCCCCATGAGTTGTCAGTCCCCCCTGATGCAGACTGATTTTACTGTTGTGGGTTTAGTAACACTTTAACTTGTGGAATAACTAGAGTGTACCTTGACACACATGCCATAGCATGAGTAACTTTACTCTCAGAAAAGAGGCGGGAAGTATTTTCCACAACATTCCTGTATTTACATTTTTTACCTACAGCTTCTCTAATTGTATTCAATCCTATTTTTCTTGCTGTAACCATCTTTTTATTATACTTTTTTTTTTTTATACCAGAGACTAGCTTTATCCATTAAGTGTCCCACACCAAAGATATTCGTGCTATGTGTGTGTCTTTATGTCAAACGCATTCAAGGTGTCTAATACAGGGCATCAAGGTGTTTAGCGTAAAAAGCAGTTTGAGATCCTTGAAACACACCTGCAGCTAGAACCTTTGCTGCCTGTATTACTACTCTACTGAATATATTTACATTGTTTTTATACCTATTGTAGTTTCAATTTTTTGTTTTTTTTCAGGTTGGCATTAAGGTTGCGGTAGAAGATCCACTTTCAAATACGCAGAAACACGTTTGTAGAGCATTTTCAACATACGTGGCCAAACCAGCTGGAGATAAAAAGGTATGATCTTGTCTTACCATAAAAACTATTAGTAACATCTCACATTGGCTCTGCATGGAATTATGTAGATTGTAGTTATCCGACACATGAAGGGCACTAAAGACCGAAGAAAAAGTTTCAGTCTTGGCCAGTATAATAGGCCGGGGGTTGTAAGATGCACAAAATGCTGAGACAGGCAGAAGAATGTGTATAATGTGTACGTATATACAACCCTAGGCACCGCAGTGTACTAGGCATGGGTTTTCACACTCTGTTTTAACTTTCCTTCATTGCAGATTTTTGCACCACTTTTTATTGATCAATACAAGGTGAAGTTACTATTTTACATAACTTCTCCAGGGAAAGGCAATATCATTCCTGATGCAGAGCTAGACTCAAGGCAACTTTATCAATGCAATATCATACAATACCAAGTGTAGAATAAGTAATTTGGAAATGATATAGCACTTGTAGCACTGACATTATACACCATACAGCTTCTGTTTAGTCCAGACCCACTTTATTATTAATTTCCTAGCCCTGTGTGACTATAAAGCAGCTGTCATATTAATTAATGGAAATGCTAGCTGTAACAAGGCCTACTCCTAAACCCATCCCTTAAAAATACCATGCATGAGATGCAGGGCTTGACCTCTCAAGTAAAACTTGTGATATCCTCCTTTTGAGAACAGAGCGCGCCAAGGCACTGTCATGTTTGAAGTACTTTGTATTTTACATCTAGGTTGAGCTTTAAAGTGATCCTGTCACTTTAAAAATAAATATAAAATCGAGCTTATAAACCCACCTCTCCTGCAGCCTGCGTCTACTACCTTCCTACCATTCCAGAGGTGCAATCTCCATAAGATTCTTCTGTATTCAGCATTTATGTGGATATCAGATGCCTGGGCCCCTCCGTCCCTACAGCACTCAATAGTAATATGTGTCAGAGGAAGGAACCATGACATTTAGCAGGGGAGATATACAGTAGTTAAATAACATCATCCTGGGATTTGACCTTTTTGAATGATCAGATCCTCCAGTGTATGAACATCTTTGGTACCTACAGATAAAGGATCTTTGGAAGGAACAAACTTTTCACTTAGCTGATTGGATTATTGCAGCCAATGCCACTCTTCCCCTTGGGTTTAGGTCAGAGATGTCTTACTTCCACTCCCTCCTCTATAGGCATCAACATGCATGTTGTTAAAGTGCATGTCCTTAAAAAAAAAAAATATACACACATCTCTGCAATACATATTTTCCCATATTTGTTTTTTTTTTTTTTTTAATACTGCAAGAACCAAAAAAAATTTGATCTGTCAGAAATCAAGAGCACTCCTAGTTTTCTTTTGTAAGCTATGATTGATTGATATTATTATTATAATACAGGATTTACATAGTGCCAACAGTTTGCACAGCGCTTTACAACATGAGGACAGACCGTACAGTTGTACAATACAGCTTAATACAGGGCGAATCAGAGGGCCCTGCTCGTTAAAGCTTACAATCTAAGAGGGAGGGTCAAGTGATACAAAATGTAATAGCTGTGGGGGGATGAGCTGATGGAGAAAATAAAAGTACAGTTGTGAGATGGGGGAAGAATAGGCTTCTCTGAAAAGAGGGTTTTTAGGGATCATCTAAAGGCAAACCAAGTAGGAAATAGTCATACAAATTGGGGTAGGGAGTTCCATAGGATGGAAGAAGCTTGGGAAAAGTCCTGGAGGCACAGGAGGAGGTGACAAGGGAGCTAGAGAGCAGGAGGTCTTTAGAGGAGTGTTGAGAACAATTGGGTTGATATTTTGAGACTAGGTTTGTGATGTAGCTGAGGGCCGAGTTGTGGATGTCTTTGTAAGTTGTTGTTAGTATTTTGAATTTAGTTTGTTAGGTAAGCGGAAGCCAGTGGAGGGATTGACTGAGAGAAGTAGCAGACACAGAAAGGTTGGTAAGGTAGATGAGCCTAATTAACAAAAAGTAGTAGCAGATTGACAGAGGAGTAGCTCCATGTTATGGAGAGGGTTTGAGATGCGTGGTCACAGCAAGGTTATGTGAAGATATGTCCAATGGATTTTTATTAAACTGTATTGCAGTGCCAGGACTTTGAACTATGGCCGGCAGGCTTAGAAGGGCCAATAAGGGGCTTTTGGTTAAGAAAGCTCCCTTACCATAAAAGTAGGGCACAGAGCAGCCAAAGTGTCAGTGAATTGGATTCTGTTGCCAAGGAAACTTAGGAAAAGCTGACAAATTGCATAGGGAGTGATTAAGGTGACGTCAGTATCTATACTTCTGATTACTAGTTCTTTGAGCATTCAATGCCTTTTGCTCCTGTCTTTCTTTTATTTATCGTGTGTGTGTGTGTGGGGGGGGGGGCCTTTTTTGTCTTTCATTGTTGATGAATTGATGTCAGCAAACCTTTTTCCCATTCACAGCAAACCTTTTTTTCTTTTTGTGCTGCAAGGCTAACTTAAAACAATGTAAGGCTTTTATTTATTGTGGCAGTATTGTTTATTTTATGTTGATAGGATATTGAAGTTAGACTAGATCTTGACAAGATTTTTGCTGCAAGTTTTTCCTAAAAAAAAAAAAAAAAGTGTGCTACTCTTTCAGGGTTTTTATTTATTATTTGGAGTTTTTTTTTTTTTTTATTATTTTAGTTTTATGTTGATGGGGGCTTTAAGTTTTTTTTTGATTTGCTCAAAATGGAGTATTCACGTGTTACTGACCATCTATTCAAGGAAGTGTCTTTGGTTTGCAGCACACCTTTGCATCATTTGAAAGTACGAGAACAGTATGCACCTAAACTACATCACATTATATGACCCACATTTTATCACATCCTCGTCCCATAAATATAATAAAAATGTTAGGTATACACCAGTAAGGTTTATTATTGAACTGCTAGCCAATTTTACACTGTTCTGTCTCCTAATTTTATGTAGTAAAACATCTGCCTGTAGTCATTTTAACTATTCAGTACTCCAGCTTTGGAAAATGCAGGCAGGGCTGACAACACTGCTTGGGATTTCAGTGCAGTAGAGGTCCAGTGCGCTCATTTTTAAACAGGAAGTTAGGAGCTCAGTGGATTCTTGACAGGATCAACAGGTCATTTTCTGTACTTGCAACATTTGAAAAAGTATAAAACATAGGGAAACGTGCATATATATAGCAGGGATTATGCATACATATCTGACATCCATCTAGAATCTATGGATACACTTAGGCTGCCTGTAAACAGGCAAGTATCTTCCTAGAAACCACAGGCTTGGAGACCACTACCTGCCCTCGCCTGACTTGTTTCAGCTTTGGCACCTGTCACAGTACTCGCCAAGCAGTGAGGTACTTCCTGATGGAACGATGAGGGGACAGGGTCCACCCACAGGGCCATTTTGCAGTATGTTACAGAGGCACTTCTTAACACTCTGAAGGAAAGGAAAAACTCCTGCCTTGTTTAATTTTTTTAGGCATCCTGTGTTCAAAATAAAACCTTTTTAGCAGAAGAATTACCTTTCCATGTTTCTGTTTTACTCTCTTCATCCTTCTTGCCCATTCCTCACACAATTATTTCTTGGTTTAATGACTCCTAGCATCATTCATCCCCTTCCTGTGAGCCTAGGCCATCAAAGACTCCTCCTGAACATTTTTGTGCAGCTTGGGCTCCGTGTATGTTGCATGGAACTGTGCTCCCATGTCACAACATGAGTACTGTCCTATGCAGCACTGAAGACCATCCAATGTTAAAGACAGAGAAGGGGACAGTGCTTGCCATGTCACCGCATAGAATACACCTGGAATAAATGCATTTATAAGTTTTTGTTCAAAATTGAGTGTCTGTGTTGGTGTGGTGGTAGTAGGGGATTTACTGTGATAGACACTGGAGTTGGGCTTTAAAGTCAGGAGCATTGCCTGCATATTGCACGTTTATGGGAAGCCTTCCACTATTTAAAAAAACATTTAATGTAAAAGTTGCACATAATCACCCAAAGTTGATGTTTACATTGTAATTGTTGTGTCTGCAATCTGGCTCTAATCTCAGTAAGGTAAAGGTGACTGTGTGTTTCACATCTCTTGGTCATCTTCATTTTGCAATCTGGGATCAAAGTTGCACAATGTTACTACAGGTCAGAAGCCTTAATTATTAACTGCAGCATGGTTATCTTATTATGGCTTTAGTTGTAAATGTTTATTTAATTTCTTCTAAGCCTAAAGCAGTCTATAGATTATGCTTTTTTTTTTTCCTTCCATGAGTGATTGGAAAGAAAATTACTTGATTTTCCCATCAACACAGTCAGTGTTGATATGGGAATCCCTCCCACAGGCCTATTGTGTTCTACCAGAAGGGAACCTTCCATGCCAGCACAACACAACGACCAGATTCAATCTGTACATCGGCATGCTGGTTGTACTGAAGTTGATCAATAGATTGACTTCAATACAACCAACCTATCAGATTATTTTCATGTGATCACTGCTATAGATCGACTTCAGTACAACCAGCCTGCTTATTGTATAGATGGAATGAATCTCAGCTGGTCCCTGGTAAACTGGCTGAAATTTGATCCATCTTTGGCCAGTTTAAGTTTGGTCAATTTTTTTTTCACATGGGATGGTACTTACATTATACCAGCCCATTCCACCCCCCTCCTCTGTTCATGTACTACAGCTTCCATCAGTGAAAGCAAACTGTGAATGAAGGACAGGCAATTGAATGGAAAGTCCACCCTCTCCATTCATAGATGGTGTTCCTTGACCTTTGGAAGCAATGAGGAGGAAGAGGCGCCCAGCCACCAATGGTGTAGCACAATTTTATTCAAAAGAATGTAAATATACAATAAAATTCACTCACAAACATCAAAGGGAAAAGGCATATATACAGCTAAGTGTGGAGCCACCAAAGTGAGTCCCATTCGTGCAAGAACTGCTGAGATAAAATAGCTGCTGCTGGTAGACATGGAGTGAGTCGGGCTGTCACTGAGGGATTGCCACGAGGAAGCCAAGCTGTCAAGGAGCTGTCAGACCCTAGGACG